TTCAAAAATTAATATCTCATTAAATATTGCGTAATTTTGCAAAATGGTAGAGGACTTTTCGATTCAGTTTAGTCCATTCTATCTACCCATGAGCGGTCATACACCTATTCCGAGACACCCTGTATATATATAGTATATATATATATGTATATGTATATATACAAAGCGACTCGAATTAGCTTATTGCTTTATATATATATATATATATATATATATATATCTATATATATCTATATATATGTAGACATATACATATATATTGCAGGTGAGTTGGGTATGGACGAGAATAAAGAGAATTCAGTGGCGGAAAGCAATAAGCTAATTCGAGTCGCTTTGACATCGACGGATAATGACTCGTCGGAAATAGATATTATAAAACAGCCGAGAGCCAGACAATTGAAGCCACAAACCGCCAAGATTACCGGGAGAAAACAATTGTCTCCGAAGAAATCTCTAAGATTTTGAGAGAAAATCAAAATACCATGAAGTATATTGAAGTCGAATTTCATGTTGAATTGAAGGATAGATGGCAAAAGTGGATGCAAGACGGTTTACTTGAAAACAATAAGAAGACAGTTCTGGAGATATATCCAAGGAAAGGAGAACTTTCTTTCGAAGCTCCTTAACCTAGAAATAATTCCTGCCTTAACGGAAATTGCTACAAAGAGAGATAAACATTTTGCTGAAACACAAAATTGTGTCGGATCAGCTACCGTAGCATTAGCAGCGGCAGTTTCCATATTAGACGTACCTAAGGAAGGTATAGATCAAGAAAAGTTTCATGAAATACTTATGTGACGTAGGTCAACTATTGACAGAGGTGTATCACCAACAGTCACTAACAAGGAAGGTATTCATTACGCCTTTGATGAACAAGGCTGTAAAACCGACTTTAGAAGCAGCCAAATCGGATCAATGGTTATAGGGAGAAAAGTTTGCTGAACAAGTAAAGGGAGCAAAATCATTAGAAAAGGCCTGTGCAAACATTAAAGCTCCCGAAAAAGTGCAAGTTCTCAGAAAGCCCTAAGAACATGGAATTAGGGAAACGTGAAAGTCCCACCTGTCAGGTACCAGCAGGTGGGCTATTAACGTTACCAGCAGGGATTATATCAGTGGAGGAATGTGATTCGGTTCAAATCCAAAGGCCAAAAGTCGACACATCGGGGAGGCAGTCGAACAACGAGTCGACTGCCATCAAATAAATAGGGTAATAAATATAGCAGGACGCCTTAGGACATATAGAAAAAATTATACGGTTGTTACGTCAAATAGACGTATATTGAATTAGATAAAAGGATATAAAATTCCGTTTCGCGAAATTCCGCGACAACATAAAATACCAATGAATAAGAATAGCTTAGGAGATTAGTTAACGATGATTAAATCAGAGATCGAAAAAATGTTAATTAATGGAGTTATATATAGAGGAATGCTCAGAAGTTACAGGACAGTTTATTTCATCATATTTTCTCGTTAAAAAACCGATGGGTCAATTAGATTTATCTTTAACCTGAAAAAATTAAATAAGTTTATTGACACTGTTCATTTTTAAAATGGAGGATATTTGAGCCATGAAGGGTCTGTTAATACAAGAAGCATAAATGGGTTCACTAGATCTGAAAGATGCGTATTATGTAATCTCCGTACAAGAAGAATGTAGAAAGTACCTCCGGTTCAATTTTTTTGGAAACTTATATTAATTTACTTGCCTGCTCTTTGGATCAGTTCGTACGTATTTACTAAACTGATGAAACCAA